ACTAGAAATGCATTCTGAGGGTATTTTACTTCCGTCTTTGAGTGTAGCGGAAATTCAAAATTTATTTTGTCAAGCTGAAACTTTAGGATGTAATTTAAAGTGAAGAGGATTCCGTTTTACAGAACGAAGACAGAAATATGATGTTTGTTAGGTTTCTATCCTAATCCTGTGAGCTCTCGCATATGTACCGGTTCAGTAGGAGGTTTCATCAAGTAAAAAATGAAAAAAATGCAATACGCAATATAGTGTATATCAAAATCTCCTTTCTATAAAGTTATCTTTTATGTTACTGCTAGATAACCTGAGTCATGGGTACTGCTTTTGTTCTAAAATATATACTGTGTAAAAAAACTATAACCACTTTCAATATACTTCAGCTTTCACTGACCTGATGAGACTGTTCGTAAGTTAGATTATATTTTGGATACGTGAAAGTGGATTTCGTGCAATGCACTGACTGAGAAGCCGTAAATTTTCAAAAGAAATCTTGAGTAAACGTGACTACCGCAAATTTCATAAGACTGAAAGCGAACGGATTCAAAAATGCACCATATAGCTCGTCGTATTTGTATATTAGTATTGCAAACTAGTGCTTATGACATACAGCTTTCGGATTTCCTGCCACATTAATATTGCATTTTAAAGATGTCGATCTAAAGGAGTTTTTTTTAAATCTAACTAGTTGCTGGAGAAGTTAAACATTGGCCGTTCACGCCGAAACATACAAACAAGTTGCATAATCAGTAGATCAAAAAACAGTAAGAAATTTCTAATTTAAAAAAATGGTATAAACTACATAGTCAGCTGACTAACGAATAAATCAGATTTTCTTTGACAAGTTTTGCAGTTTTGCAATGCAATACTTTATTTGTATTTTCCAAAAAAGCATCTGCCATTTGACGGTATTTGTGGTAATGCTAGAGTTACAAATTTTATTCAAACGACTTCGTAAAGATGTTTGTCTCAAGTAAAAACTTTTTCCTGCCTTATGTAATCTGCAAAGGTAAGGATTATGTTTATTTGTCTTCTAATTCATTGCAAAAGTTTACCTTTGGAATTCACCAAAATCACATACGTCCACTGAAAATATCGGAGGATTGATGCAATAACCTTCACCTGTAGTGCATCGGATGGTACAACTCGAATAAAGGTTCGATATTCAATTGGGTCACTTAGTGATGCTGCTGTTGCTGAGTAGCCAATTTGTGGAATGTCGAATAGTTGGAGTACTTGTTGAACCTGCTTTGACATTTCGCTGGAACCTGGTCCGATTAAGGCCGCAATAGGCTTTTCAAAATAATGATTAGAAGTTCCAGGTGGTGTGCAAATATACTCAGAATTGTCATTTGCCTCTAGGCAGTCTTCGTACTCCTTGTATATAAATGCTGTTCTGATAAAATCCATGCACTGTTCCAGAGCAATTGGTTCAAACCAGCAGGTGTCACGCACATCCACACCTATCTTGACTCCTGGAAGGATATTTCGATTTTCATTGATGTTCTTGAGAGATTGAATAAGCATCTCAATTCGATGTATGCCGTATTGCTCTCGGACCTTTCCACAGCGAC